GAAGCTAAGCTTAGAAAACTTAGCTGAGAAGCTTTTATACCACCCGTGAGCTACCAACCTCAGCGAGTTTTGGCTGACCTTACCCTTGCATCAAGAAAGTCAGATTTCCAAAGCTCTCTTCTGTATTACACTTTTATTTGTTAAGTAACATCAGAACAAATAAATTATAGTATTTGCTGTTTTTTGCTAAAATGGATACATCTGTTTTATCTGAACATGCTTTCGTTGCATTGCGTATTTCTCTTTTGGAATCAGTAAAACTGGAAAAAACAACTGACAAGGCGGGATATTGAAACTTGAGTTATCATATGACCAAAATCATCTAGAGTAATTAAACCGTTTTTTTGTTGTTTTTTTTTTTTCTCTGATGAAAGTAACATCCTTATTTTGGGAAATGTGATGGGAGAAAAAAAAAAAAAGCTGTGGTGTTGTCTGTCTTTCTGTACTCTTTTTGTCTTCACATAGTGGAAAGGACAAACAAGGTTTGCCTGCAGGATAGCTTAAGGGTACAAAGAGCAGCAGTGAGGGAAAAAAAATCCCATCATTATCAAGTATGAGCTTGAATGGGAGAGGTTATCCTTGAGACAGGCTTGCTGTTAAGTTTGGAGAACAGTTTAGAATATACTTCAACTTTTTTCATGCATGCCTTTTTTTTTTTTTCATGGAGGTATTAGTTGTTTTAAGAAGAACAGCTGGAGATTTTGTACTACTGTGATGTTTTATACTATTTATTCCCATATAAGAAACAAATTAATTTGGAACAGAGATAGCCATGGAGGAATAAATACACTTACATTTATCTTCTGCTTTTAGGTCTATAGCAGCTTACAAATGAAAAAAAATAACTGTGTAAGATTTTTTTGGAAAAGGTAACGGAATGTTACGGAAATGTAGGTTCTACCCTTTCATGGTAAAGCTTCATATTTTTCTGATGTGTAATGAAGGAAATTGTAGTATCTGTAATCACAAAAGGAGAAACCAAAAGCCATCAATTGACTTCCGTGCTTTCAGTCTGGACCTGAAGGTAGCAATTCAGGCTTTCCAGTACGGAGCGATTGGGTGATTAAAAAAAAAATAAAATAAAAAAAAAGTTTTATTTAAAAAATATGTAGTGCAGTGCACAGAGTGAAGAAAACAGTTTTAATTTCACAGTGATGACTTCTGAGCTCATTTTTACCACTCAGTAGCTAGATTTAGGGATGATGATAATTCTGTAGTTGGGTTGTGTTCATTAGCTGTCAACTGAATTGAAAGGAGAAGTTTTTGGAAAAAGGATAGGGAGCAAAATATTTTTTTATTTCAAAAAAGTCCAAAGAAAAGCAATTTCACATCCAGGATGCATGTCGAAAGTCACACTGTATTCAAATGTGCTCCTGTAATCTCAGAAGATAAGGATTTAGTGCAGCTGAAACAGTACAGAAAAGAAATACTGCAAAAATGTTTAAAAGCATCCAGTGATAGGGATACAATATACAGACTAGAAATTTCTCTAAAGGAACATTCAGAGACCTGATAGAAGCAATTAAATTATTAGTTAAGTAAAAAATGTAAATACTAATAAATAAATGTAAACAAGTGCTTGCTTGCTCTCCCTTATAATTTGAGAACTAGGAGCATCAAATTAGAGTAGCAGGTGAGTTTCAAAAGAGAAGGCGTTTTTTCATATTGTACAAAGAAATTACCTTTTTTTCAGGAAGTCTCTGATCCACAAATATCTGAATATGCCTAACGGTTCTCGTAAAGCATTGCTCTGCATTGGACCTGTTCTTCGCCCATAGGCAGAGACTGGTGATCTAAACTAACTCATTCTTCCTTCTGACCTGTTACAGATGGATTTTTTTGTTCTTTTAAAATGAATTCACTGGGCAAGAGAAAGCTTTGAACTCCTTACATTTTTTGGCTGGTACACCAACATGGTTCAACAAATTTGGGTGAGAATCCAAAAGCTGCTACTAGTTAACAAGTCATCATATGAGTCAGAGTAACTGTCTGTATGTGAGATCTTAATCTGCATAAAGCTGAAGTTGTTCAGGCTAACTTTTTCCTACTGAGAAAGGGAATTGCTGTGACATCCAAGTGCACTCAACTGTCCAAGGCAAGATACTTCATAAATATGTAGGAATGACCAGTATACCTCAGTAAATTGAAGTCCAATTCTAAAATTTGAATGTCTACAACAGAAACACAAAATCACAGCTATGCTCTCTGTAATGGCTGTTGAATCAGAAATGTGTTCTAAGATTTTTCCAGTTCCAAGGATAGACATAACTTCAGGTAGCTGTTTCACATGGCATGTTTGCTCAGTCTGTTTCCCCAATATTACTCTTCTGCTGTGGCACTGTCGTTGATGAGCATAATTTATCTGTCACTGTCTCTAAAGAGCAGCTCTGAACAAGATTAAATGACATAATGCAAGCATTGCCAACCTGTAGCTCTTCAATGCAGCTTTTACAGTGTAGGTATCTATGCTAGGGCTAAATTATGTCATCAGCATTGAGACTGATGTCTCCCCAAAATGCAAATTTTGCACTGTTATGCTGAGCCTCTATATAAGCATACTAGTTGTTCCTAATATGCTATGGTAGACCGGGGTCTGTCCTGTTGCTAGTCAAATTTTAGCAAGTATGTTGCTTGTTTTTAGTATACTTTCATTATAAATATTCCATCAAAAAAATACGTGTTAAAATAAGAACATCGAGCACTAAGATCAATTCCTGACACTTCAGAAAAAGCACTTTATGATAGAAATCTTTATGCAATAGAGGAGGAATTTAGTAGCCGATGTGTCGAGCAAAGAATAAAAAGGAACAGTTTCTTCAATATGGAATAGGAAAGCCCAAGTAAAAGATATTATGAACATTCTAATTATAGACATTATAGTCATGAATTCTTTTTTACAGAAGAGATGAGAAAATAATAATTGCAGAAGTAATTTATCACTGGCAATCCTGTATGTTATTTGATGAAGATCAATAGCATCTGGGTTAAAATAAAGAAAACTGAATACATTATCCAGGTGAATAATATTGTTTACCTTTAAAAAAAAAGATATGAAAAGCCTAACACTTTAGAAAACTTCTGTTTGTCTAATCCAAAAATTCAGTTAAACTCCCAGGGAGAGGTGGCATGATGGACTAGAAAGACGACTGAAAAGGTCAGGAAAACCGGTAGAAGTAGTTTGAATGTATTTAAAGTTAATTTCTTATTAGAAGAAAAATGTTCTGGACTCCAAATAATCTCTTTGACAAAATTCTAAGATCTTGGGATGGGTTGTGAGCTATAGAAAAATAACTCTGTAATTTGATATAAAGCGATGTGAAATATGTTAATGAAAAGTCTTAAATTAAGTACTACAACCATATATGCCGTAAATAATTTTCCCTGATAGTAGCCAAAGGTATGGTTTCACAATTCAGTTGGCCAAAACGAGCAGCATCACTTTCATCCTATTCCCTTCCCCCATCTGTGCTATCAACTCTTTTGTTTGTATTAGTGCTGTGATACTCATTCAGCTGAGTCGGCTCTTTAACTTAAAGGTAAAAGTGCATAGGGGTTTTTTTGTTGTTGTTTATTTTTGAGATGTTAACAGGGTTTTGCCGTTGAAATGTATGAGTGACATTACTGTGAAAACCAGATGAAGCCCAGAGGTAACTAAAAAAATTTAATAGATTAAGGTTGGAAACAGAAGCGGAACTTCCCTTTTTAGCGATGTCATACTGCTAATCCAGTTCAGGCTGTATTGTTAAAAAGCATATTCTAAAATTATCACAGCAGTAACAAATAGAGAATTGTGACAGCTGAGCTATACGTTAATGCACTTTAACAGTAGGAAAGGAAACTAAGGAAGGGAGACAGTAGTAGGAAATTAAGGTGAGTTGCTTTAAGTTTTCTAAAATGACTTATGGATGTCTCAGTAAGTTAAAGTAAGATTCTGAAATTTGGAGATCAGTGACAGAAATACAGAATCACAGTTATGCTGTGTCTAATGGCTGTTGAATCAGAAATTTATTCTAAGATTTTTCAGTTTGGTGTTGTCAGTTTTATGCATAATCTTGTTCCACATAATTCTGTGGTAACCTAAATTTTGTTAATCCTTTTCTCTGGCTCTCCTGTGTTTAATGTGGAACAGGAATGGAAGTTATAAATAAAGCCATCAGGCATTCTGTTACACTGATTTCCCCACCACCACCACTTTCAGGGCTCAAATCTTGCTGTGTACTATTGGCCTTGTTTTGAACTTAGTCCTGAATTCTACGTGAACTGTCACGTAGCTGTGACATTGTACTAGCAGGATGTCAGCAGCTAACTTACAGGCTTTCTGGTTGAGGTACATCCTTAATGCTATGCTGGTTTTTATTTACATAATTCAGAAAACAAATTAAAATTTTAGATCTGTAAAGTTGCAAAGCATCGTTGTTTTGAGTTTAATTTGCCAAAGTATTTAGTCAATGTATTGATTAACTAAATACGAAGTGGGTGGTCTGAAGCCAGTAAATAGGTTAGTAAATAAAACCTGTATTCTGAACATAAGCTGTACTTCTGTCATACCCATTTTGTCCTTTACTCTTGTTCTGATACATTATTCTCCTTTCATGGCTTCTGCTTTTTTTCCTTCTATTTTCTGTGCTATTTCTATCAGACTTGTCAAAACATGATAGTTCTGAAATAATGTAACCAGAATTTCCATTTCATGGGATTTGAGTTAGAAAACCAATGATGTTCAAAAGTAAGATGTTTTATAAAATATGCGAGTCTTTGGTGGTAGAACCTCAGAACCTGACACACAATCTTAATTGGAGAAATGTTTTTTGTTCCTCTCCCCCTGTTGCAAAGCGCTGTTAGCTATACAGTCAGTGTATGCATCACATTTGTCTCCACATTATTTCTATTATGTAGAAACTTCATGAAGTATTTCATACTATTGAATTAGGTAATAAGAAATCTGACTTTAAAATATTTGTCTTTTGATCAGTTGCTGCCAAAATCCTTCTGTTTGGATTCTGAACTATGACATCATGGCAAGATTTCGCAGAAGAACATGCATCATTTTGTTGCTTTTTATTTTGTTTATTTGCTCCATAATGATGGCTTTGAAGACTCTGAGACCTGACAGAGCTGGCTTTGGGGATCCATTTGGACTTGGTTTGTTGCCTGAGCTTCAACAACGGACAGTGCTCTTAGACAATAAACAGAATTCACTAAATAGGATTCAAGGAGATACTGTAACACGTGTCAGTAATTTGCATAGTATCGCAGTCAATGCTATGAAAGCATCTATGTCTCCTGTAAACAAGCTGGAAGAAGAGATGTCTTCTCCTAATTATAACTTTCATATATTCTACTATAGTTGGTTTGGGAATCCGCAGTTTGATGGTAAATATATTCACTGGAACCATCCGTTATTGCCCCATTGGGATCCCAAAATTGCAAACAATTATCCAAAGGGAAGGCATAATCCTCCTGACGACATTGGGGCCAACTTTTATCCTGAACTCGGATCTTACAGTTCCAAAGACCCTTCTGTCATAGAAGCCCACATGAAACAAATGCGTTCTGCTTCAACTGGTAATGAATGTTAACGTTTCAGCATGTTGTTCTTTTATCCAGCCTTAAGTATGTGAATGAACACAACTGACCAGTTCTTCCATTGCTCTGTCATTCTGAAAATGTCTGAAACTAGTAAATGTCTTTGTATTTCTGAGTTTTAACCCCCAAGCGAAACCTACATCTTCAAAGCTCTGTCTGATGAGTGTAACAGCACAGAAACGTAAGAACTATATTTGTAATCCTGTAGGTGCCTGTGTTTCGTGACTTACTGTTAAGCACTGATAACATATGTAGAAAATATAGAGACCATTACCAGAACATACTGTCTGTGTATTTTATTTTTGGAGATGAATACTTCAGATTTTAGGACAGGTTTCAGTAAATCATGTTAGCATGTTTATGGAGCAGTCCTTTCAAATAGCAGCAATTTTATTATTTTTTTTTAATTCTTTGTGTGTGTAATAGTAATTACGTATTAATTCATATGTTAAAGCACAGGTAGGATTATAGCTTTTATGCAATTTATATTTTTTATGCAGTGTATTTATAGGTGTTCTCATTAGTCATGGAAATGTCTAATCAAAACCTTCTCGAACTCGGCTATGATAGTTTCAGTGTAGCTAATTACAGTTTCTTTCTTTGTCCAAAAGTATCTTTTTTCCAATAGAAATTGATGTTCCCTTTCTTAAATAAGACGGACTATATACATAGGAATATTCCATATATTTTTGGTGTTATTGTTTGTTGTTGGGCTTTATGGTCCTTTTTATGTTCATCATCTTTAAAATAAGTAGCTATATAGTCTCATATTAAAATCTGAACAGCTTATTTAAGTCTAATTGGAGGAACACAACTAGAGCTCATAGCATTATTCAGTGCTAATCACCTTCAGCTGCATCTCTTTCATGCACCTAATCGCTAAGTTTTGATGTAATTATTATATTCCCGTTTATAGTGTTTACTTGTATAATGTATACTTCGAGATTACTGTTTTCTCCTGTTTTTTAACCTAACCTGTATTTTGTACAAGGGTTAATACAAACATAGGAAGTTTCTCACCGTTTTCACTAATATGATATCTCTGTTAACAAGAACACTAGCAACAGTGGGAAAATTGTTGCAGAGAAATCTCAGGCATTAGTTGCCAGTAAGCACTTTTTTAGTCTTATCTAAAGCAAAATAATTCATGACAGTGTGATGAAAGCAGAGAGGGCACTTGTAGCTTTATGCTACAATCCTAAACCATGACACTTTAGAAGAATCTGTGATGTTTCTCATTCTCTTAATACAAATGTCTAATAAAGCTGAACTGCTGGTAGAAAAGGTGCAAAATACTAGGAAAAATGCTTAGCAAAACAAATCGAGGTTTTTTTAGTTACTTAAGTTGGTTTTCCATTTAAAACTCAACGATGTAAATGAGAAGTTCGTGTTTCCTGCGGCATATTCTTTGTAACATATTACTGATATTTGTGAAAAGTGATTTTTTTTTTTCTGCTGTTATTCTGACTTACGTATTTAAGTACACTTGAATTTTTTCTCTTCTGTGTAGATTTGACCAACATAAATCATCAATTTTTTTTCCTCAGGTCATTGCTTCAAATATTGCATCTTTTTTATAAGAATTGTACTTTGTTCATTTTTGGTGTACTGTGAGGTTGACTGTTTACAGTTTCTTCTTTTTGTCTCTTAGCCAATGTCTAATCCGTGCCTGCATTTTACATTCTGTCAAATAAAATTTTTTCTTCTAGCCTTTTTGAGGCTTTATCAGGGATCTTACAAAAGGAGAAAAATGTAAGTGGTTATTTCGGCCAGTATTGTGTAATGATCAAAAGCATGTAAGAGGTTGGAGCAGCAGGAGTCTCATGCAGAGCTTCCTTGTATTCTTCTTACATATTACAATTCTTTCCTTATTTATTAATTTCCTAATAATTAACAGATTAATATAATAGATTTTATTCCTCAGATTGCTTGGTGTTTTTTTCTTTTTTTTTTTTTTTTTTTCACCAACCTTAGTTTGTGGTAGTCCAGTTTGAAGTCCTTCATTTGTCTTGAATGACTGTACTCTGGTTTTAAACATGTTTATGCTACTGTTTTTGGCATTGAGTCCATCCTTTTTTAGACTCGACATGGTACATAACTATTTTTTAACCACAGGAAAGAAAATGTTAAGTATTTCTCAGGGAAAGACCAATACAAATGTGAATTTAAGTTCCTTGATGAACAATTCTGTCTCCTGAACTTTTCTGTTTCCTAACGGTATAGAAGAGGTTCTTGACAGTTGTACTGAAGATACCTCGAGTGTAACCCGAGTTTGTTGCTTCTGTTCTGTTTGTCCTTTACATCTTACTCATTTGGAATTTGTTCTTTTTACTTGTGTGAAATATAAGATAGGGTGATAAAATGCAGTAAAATATTGCATGTTTCTTGTCCTTGAGCAGACTATTTCTTGTGATAATGAGTCTGTTGCTTGTGATTTTCTTTTTCATAAAATATTGAGAGACTACGCTGAGGGTAATTGAACTACTCCTGTGTATAGTGAGCTCAAGTTTCTGGTTTTGATGTTAGAAGATGATTGTGTATTCATTCTAATTTATGCTTTCTTTTTCATAATTTTGGGGTTTCTTGTTTGGGAATTGTTAGTCAGAAATGTTACAATATTAATAAAATATATGGAATTTGGAGTATATACTTCCTTACCTCAGTGACCTGCTTTGAGTACTTCAGTGTTTACCTGGTTAACAAGAATCACGTTGTGACTTATTCTTCCATGTTTTAAACAGTATTGTTAGGAAAATATTCCTGCATCAGCATTTCATGTATTTCTTTCTATCTTAACTTCTTCCTGATATTATTTCTGGCTACATACCTAAAAGGTTTAACTTATTTATCTGACAGTGTTTTATTTTAGAAGAGAGGGGTTTAGCCTTTCTGAAGAAGTATGTGTTCTTTTTGCTTTCATGGAGAGCACCAGGAAAACTTACAGCATGGGGACATTGCATTTGTCATCTTTTTTGACAGGAATAGTAACACCCTTAAGTTATTGAGAGTTACTCAAGGATTTTATTTTTTTTTTAGATAATAAATTTAAAACCTAATTTCACGTGGTTGGAAGGGTGGACTACAGCATAGTAACTGCTTTTAGCAAGAAGGAAAGTTGTGCGATTACAGTCACTGCTTCTAGTATGAAATGGTTGTTTTGTAGTAGAGCCAAAGGTACAATGCAGAAATATGTTGGGGAATAAAGTTTCATAAAATAAGAATCCCTTTCATCACATGCATAGCTCTCATCTCTTGAGTATTTTCTCATGCTAGGTATCTTGATATTCTCTGGCTGTACTGTGGCATATCCGTAATGTCTTACTTAGGAGCAATTTCCTGCTCTTGGTACAGCCTGGAAATTAGGATGCTGTGCTGAAAAGTGGGAGGGTAGGGCTCTAAGTGTTAGGCTGGGGACACTGGTCACAGATCTGTTCCCTTGGCAGGTGATCTTACCACTGTTTTTTTTGTTGTCTTTTAAAAAAAGGGAAGTTAAAATCCACTCTAAGAATGCTGAGATTCTGTAATTGGTAAAAAAGTAATTTGAAATTCTCATTTATATTATGTAGATTCACATCAAACAGTAATTATAACTCATGACAATGTTGTAACATACATGGTTTATGTTGTACAACATGATTTAAAACTTAAGTTTTGTATTTTCAGGTGTAATAGTGCTTTCATGGTATCCACCAGGTATGGCTGATGAAAACGGAGAACCAACTGATGATTTGGTGCCTGTTATTTTGGATTATGCACACAAATATAATCTAAAGGTAAAGTATTTTTAAGATGCATAAAATAGGACTAGGGAAAGTAAACCCTGGTAAGAGTTTACTACATTTGGCTCATGGTGTAAAGCAGGGGCTTGTACTGTAGTGGTGGCTTCTGTTTCTGTCTCCTCTTATGCTGCACTTCTTTTGGGTATTAGAAGCAGGTGTAAGTGCCCTTTGAATTACACTGAATTTTGATAAGACCTAAGCAATATTGCCTTTTTTCTGTTTAGGTTCAGATCTAAAGTTTACAGAATATAAGGTTATGGTTTTGTGGATTTTTTTTTTTTCTTTTTAGGAAGCAGGTTTTAAAATTAGACATGTTGTTTTCAAATGAGCCTTGGGAGTTGAGGGAAGTATTACCTATTTCAAAACATTATGGAATACAATGAACTGTAAACTAAGGAACTTTGAGAAAGAAGAAAGACTAACCTTATTTTTTGCATTATCACATAACTTGCTGGTGCCTGATCATAGAGGTCAGGAGCAAGCATCTATAAGTAATAAAGAGGGATTTAGAAGTTCTAGTTTGAATGAATGTCTTTATTCCAAAACGTATCAGGAGAACTCACCTTGGACAGTAAGGTCAGAGAGGTGCTGCTCTGACGTTAGCTTACTCCAGGGCATGACAGAGTAGAAAGGTTAACTTACTGGCTTCCTGAAATAGGTGAAATACCAAATCAACTAAAGATTACGTGGATTGATCAGTAGAGTCTAAAATTGTTATTTGATTTTTGTTTATTTTTTGAGTAAAACTTGTATTTTCTCTTGGGATAAAGAAAACATGCATTTCCTTATGGTCTTCCTCAGTAATGAATTTGAGTTTTTAAAGTATCTAAATAGCTGTATATCTTTCATCTCTGGACAGTGTTGTCTGTACTGGGGACTAAAAATACAGCCCGTTCATCTGCTCTGGTTTTAGTTGGTTGTGCAAGTTGCAGATTCTCAGAGAAATTTCCGATCACTAGTAGCAACTGTAGATTGTTTGACAAGCAGGAGGAAAGTAGGAAGGTTAAATCAGATACAGAATTAATTTTGAAACTGTTAAAAATGCTGTGTGAATTGCATGTGACATAAGTTGCACGTATGCAATAGTAAATTATTAAAAAGAAAAAAAAAAAAGTATTGTCCTTCCCCAAAATTTTCAGATCATCTGATGCAGCTTGCTCTTACCTAAAAGAACTTCTTAACATTCAAGTCTTTTAAAGGAGCCAAGGCAAAATCATAGAATTGTTAGAGTTGGAAGGGACGTTGAAGATCATCTAGTTCCAACCCCCCTGCCATGGGCAGGGACGCCTTCCACTAGACCAGGTTGCTCAAAGCCCCATCCAGCCTGGCCTTGAACACTTCCAGGGATGGGGCATCCACAACTTCTCAACTTCAACCCTTTCCACTGTCTCACCACCCTCACAGTAAAGAATTTCTTCCTAATACTGTTCTGAATCTACCCTCTCTCAGTTTAAAAATGCTAACCCTCATCCTATCACTATACTCCCTGATAAAGAGTCCCTCTCGATCTTTCCTGTAGGCCCCCTCTAAGTGCTGGAAGGCTGCTATAAGGTCTCCCTGGAGTCTTCTCTTCTCCAGGCTGAACAACCCCAACTCTCTCAGCCTGTCTTCCTAGGAGAGGTGCTCCAGCCCTCTGATCATCTTCATGGCCCTCCTCGGGGCCTGCTCCAATAGGTCCATGTCCTTCTTATGTTGGGGGCCCCAGAGCTGGATGCGGTGCTCCAGGTGGGGTCTCAGGAGAGCAGAGTAGAGGGGCAGAGTCATCTCCCTCAACCTGCTGGCCATGTTTCTTTTGATGCAGCCCAGGATACGATTCTGGGCTGCAAATGCGCGTTACTGGCTCATGCTGAGCTTCTCATCAACCAGCAACCCCAAGTCCTTTTCCTCGGGGCGGCTGTCAATCCATTCTCTGCCCAGCCTGTATTTGTGCTTGAAATATGAAATAAGCTACCGAGTAAAATGCATGTAATAGTGTGGTAATGATTGGGATATGGATGGAACTGCTGTTACTGCTTGGAATGTTACTGGAATATAGATATTCAGTATAGATACTACCAGGGAATGCTACCTTTGCTGTGATGTTTTTAAACATTCTTACACTAGTAAGTTATCACAGTGAAGTGTTAGGAATGTCAGTAGACCAAAACCAACATATAAAATACATTTGTTATGTTTGCTAAATGCAAGTTTGCTAAAAGATATGTCCTTTTGATTTGCCTGGTTTTGAAAGTTGGAAATGAAATACGAAATTACAGTGCTCTTCAACCTGTCCTGTCAGTCCTAGTCATTAAGTGTAACACTGTATTTTTCTATAGAGATAGATACTGGCTCTACAGTGGAAATTTGCTACTGTTGCAGAGTTGTTGAAGACTTTATTAAATACATTCTGCTCTAAAATTGTTTCTGAAAAACTAGTAGCTTTGATAAATGTAATATACTCTTTGATTAATTGTATATTTGAAACCAATGGCATTTTTACATTGAAATGACTTCACATGTATAGGTTAAATAATAACATAAGCTCCAAGCTTGAAATTGTTATATTAGATTTAGTTCCAAGAGCTTATTGCTGTTGATAAATCTATAAAATTTTAAATTAAAGTGTTCATATCCCATGTCTTAAAATCTATTTTGACATTGAAAACTCTCCTTGGAGACTTATTTATAGCAAGTTTAATACATTGTTTAGAAATTAAATATTAAAATGTTTTATTGGTTAATCAGTTTTTTGACATTCTAATAGATAATATTTTATTTCAGTTTCTAGTTTCTGCTATGTTTTTTTAAATTTTCTGAAACATGCTTACTATTGGCTGTAGCCTAGGCAAAACGAAAGCAGTGTTTTGTTTTAATGTAAAAACCTGAATATTTACTTTATTATCAAACTTCCTTGGATCTGAAGATTAGCCGTGCAGGAGTTGAATTAGGGTTGTATTATTCTCAAAATAGATTAATGAAAATGTTGGCTTTGTAAAGAAGAACTATATTTAAAGTGGCTGGTACTTGCTTCATACTATACGCAGTTCCCATTTGTTCAATAGTAATTTACATTTGTGTTGCTCTTGCTACGTTTTCATCTTTTAGGTCACTTTTCATATTGAACCTTACAAAGATAGAGATGATCGCAGTATGTACCACAATGTCAAATACATCATCGACAAGTGAGTGCTTTCAGAATGATTTCCTTTGGGGTTTGTTACATGCTGGTTTAGGGGAATTCTGTATACTATCTAAAGCTTGGAAGAATATATAAAAATGTGTACTCAGGCTGAAGAAAAATATAGGAAACTTTGTTCATAGTTCAGTGGTACAAAACTAAAAGTTTGTTTTTTAAATATTGAAGCATATCTTTACATAGATACTCAAATGTAAATTGCTTCCAACATTCACTAGTATCACAAGTCATGATACTTCAGGTTAAAGCAGTTAAAGGATTAGCTACATGATATATAAATTAAATAGACATTTTCATAGTGACAGCCTAGCAGCTAGAGCTTTAATATGTTGACCTCCAATGATTTTAATTCAGCTTGAAAAATTCTGTACAGCTCCTAGTTGTTTTGTTTATCGATGCTGCTTAGACTGTCTTATTTCATACTGAATTAGAGGATTGCCCTGCAGAGAAAACTAATACCTATAGCACAGTTTGAAACTAAGTTACTAATTTGTAGTAATTTAAAGGTTCTTTGCAGGTTCATTATTTAATACTTCAGCAAACACTGGATTGAAAATGGATATGAATTGCTGTGTTTTGAAGCGCATGCACTGTCTTTTTTTAATTAGTTTTTCAGGAAAATCTTCAGTTCAGAGTGTGAAACAGTATTTTCCAAATGGCAATTTTTTTCTTAATGATACTTGTTTGCTTTATAGATATGGAGGTCATCCAGCCTTTTACAGGCACAAGACCAGCACAGGCAGATTTCTTCCCATGTTTTATGTTTATGATTCTTACGTAACAATTCCTGAAATATGGGCAAATCTGCTAACTGTTTCTGGATCCCAGACTATTCGAAATACTCCGTATGATGCGTTGTTCATTGCGCTTCTTGTAGAAGAAAGACATAAGCATGACATTCACAGAAGTGGCTTTGATGGAATGTACACGTACTTTGCCACCAATGGCTTCTCCTATGGCTCATCTCATCATAATTGGGCAAGTTTAAAAGCCTTTTGTGATAGTAACAACTTAATGTTTATTCCAAGTGTGGGGCCAGGGTATATTGATACCAGTATCCGACCATGGAACAACCACAACACCCGCAATCGTGTCAATGGGAAGTACTACGAGACTGCCTTCAGTGCAGCCCTTTTGGTGCGACCAGAAATTATTTCTATTACATCTTTTAATGAATGGCATGAGGGAACTCAGATTGAAAAAGCTGTCCCCAAACGGACTGGGCAGGTGGTTTACCTTGATTATAAGCCCCATAAACCAAATGTTTACCTAGAGCTTACTCAGAAGTGGTCTGAGAAGTACAGAAAAGAACAAGAACAGTGGCTTATGTGAGCTGCTGCTGACGTTGTTTCCTAATGTATTGAATACATTGAGAAAGAAATTGAGAGCTGAAAACTCTGTTATTAAATGTCTTTATTATAGATTGTTCGATTTATTATATCTCTTGAATGTATATGCACTACTACTGAATTTGAATTTTGAAGAGTGAAAAGATGATTAGAATATTGGATTTCTGTCTTAAAAGATATTGTAGTTCAAGAACATTCAGGGAAAATGCTGGGTTTTTGGTTTTTCTTTTTTTTTAAACTTCATAACTTGCATGCTGAGCTTCTGGAACATATGCATGGGATGACTTTACATGACCAAAGTAGCACAAAAATTTGGCATAGTTATACTTACTTCCTTTATTCTTGTAGTTGTGTTTCTAATCAAAGTGATGCTGTATTCTAAATTTATCCCGATAGCTTCTTGCAGGACGCATGTCTGTAGTGTGTGGAATCATCTACATCTACCGTTTTTAAGGCTTTGCACACAGGAGTTCTTGGTATATGACTAGCTTGTGGTAAAAACACTGAAGAGGTGTGTGTAATACAGCACTGGTGGGTTTTCTTAAAAAAAAAAAAAAAAAAAAAAAGTATTTGAAAAATTGAATTCCAAAGAACTGCTGAAAGAATTCTAGTTTACATCCATTTGTTCTGTTCGGTACATGGTCCAGATTACTGGATACTGACCAATAACATATTTTTTCCTATGTTATTTTAAATTTTAAGAAAAATAGTTTGAAATGGAGAGTGGAAAAGATTTTTTTTGAGGGGGAGGGACCCCTAAAGAGGAAAAAAAATTACTAAAAAATTCCATTGTTATGTTTTGTCTGCTAATGGCAGAGACAGATCTAATGTGTTTTTTAAAATGCTTAAAGATTCTAAAGCTAATATCTTACCAGTCTTACAATAAATATAACTTTAGGAAATGCTTTTCCATTTATGATTTAGGAGCAGTCTAATTTGATAATAATGATAGCAACTACCGGTTAATTTAATTTGAAATATGAGGTTTCTATTTTTCATGTAGTTCATCAGTCGTTCCAGGATTCAGGTTAGTAGATACTAAAGTCTTGTTATTGTTTGGATAAGCTCCTTACCAATATTACCTTTAATACTGTGGTATGGCTGGAAATGAGTACTTTCTGACCTAGGAATCTCACCTTTCAAATGTTGTGATTATTAACTGGTTTTCTTAATGAAGCTTGAAAGGATCAAGTCACATGGACGTGTCTCCTCAGCAGTCCTTTTTTTTGGCATTTTCATACAACTTCATGGTAAAGTTCTGAACTTTGGAATAGTAGAAATTACAGTGTTTTGTTTATTTGCAGCAAGTGTTTAATCAGTAGCAAAGTGGCTTTTTTAGTTATTTTTTTATTATTTATATACCAGGTGCTGATCCTGTGTTTTAGTTCATATGCTGAACTGTTGTGACCACTAGAATTCCATTGATTTCAGTAGGACCTATGGAAATTCCACTCTTTACTTGGTTCCCACAGTAACCTGCCCATGAAGTTGTAAGGTGAATGTGAGGACTTCTGGTTAATAAAAGAAAACAAACCAAAAAAGAAAACAACATGTTTTTTCCAGAAACCTTTGTCATTCCAAATAAGCATAAACCAGTTACTACTAATATTTTCTAGAGCCTTTCTGGTATGAAAAAGGTTTGTTTATGTATTTTCCACTTATTTACAGTTTAATTGTCTTGTCATTTCTCTGCAGTTGTTAAAGAGATGAGGTGTCATATAATGCCCACTGCTGCTTGAAAAAAAAAAAAAAGCAGAAATTGGGTGACAGTGAAATTGGGTGTGTTGAAGTGTGCCTCTAGAGCTGTTGGAGTCTTATTAATATCTCTTCATAATATTTTGCATTTTCCTACTGAGTTTCTGTAAACTCCAAAGTGCTTCTGAAATAAATGTTTACTAACACTTATTTTGTTATACTTATGCTCAGGTGGATAAACTGAAATAGATATAGGTATGACCACGGTCGCAAAATAGTGTCTGAGACATACAAATCACTTGCTAGACTTTTACCACTTCCAAGTTAACCAACCACTCACTCCCTTTATTAAGGAAACTGATTTACATAGTTTTACTGTAAGTCCCTTAAATAGCTATACATAATTTGTTTTTATAATTTGTTATATGTTTATACTTGTATAGCCCAAAGAGCCCATATATTTATTTTAAATGTGAGGGAATGATTAATTTTTTGCATATCTATATTGCTTATATTATTAAAAAAATCTTCTGAAATCAAATCTTTTGAAAGGACAAGTCTCTTTGTTTTCCCCTTGCTTAAACTTTTGTCATCTGGTCTTTTGTCACTGTATTGTCAGAGCAGTTTACTAGTCTTGACAACCTTGCACTCAGCTTTCAGCTTCTTACTTTCTCCTGGTGGCAGTTTATTTTCTTCATGACTATAAAAGTTGCTCCTTTTGTTGCTGTTTATAGAAACATTTGAAATTTGTTGTAGAGTATTGTACAACTGAGGTGATCGATCTTTGTTTAAAATATAATTTATGGTAACAGTGTAATGGATCTTCATTATTTGGAAAGACTTCTGTAATTGCTGCAAAGGTATCATTTAGCCCTTGCCATGAAGTGGTATGGGCCACGACACACTGGTGTCTAATGGGATCTTTAGAAGGATTTACAGAATTTCTGTAGAAAAGAATAAAAATTCAGTGCCTAGAAATTCATCGCCCCTGAGCACTTACTGTAGTTTTATGTGCTTGATGTGTTTTAGAATATAAATATGCAACCCAATAAAATATTTCAGTGTTTGGAATTTAATTTGATGATCCTAAGGAGGGACGGTGGAATAGCAACTACTAGAACTACCCCACCTGCCTGCCCAATATTTTCTCTGTATTTAGAGCAAATATTAGTGCTACTTCTTATTATAAGGGATGGAGAGTTTTTCTGATGGACTGCTGCTGCAGTCATGATAGTTTTTGGAAATTTCAGTAAAAATAGGTCTATGGGAGAGGATTTGTACAACTACAAAGAAATAAGATTGTTAAAAGTGCACAGTTGCACTGGGAGGGAGAAGGTGAATGTATTTAGAAGGTGATCCAAGGTTCAACCAAAATCGGGATGGAGTAAAGAATATTTATTATAAGTTTCAGATCTGAAATGGAATTTAAGGAATATCTACATCCTATTTCACTTTGCTTATACCCCTATTATTTCTATGGCTAATTGAAAAAAATATTGTAATGATTACTTTCAATATTTTTACACTGATTAATTGTATTTGACTCATTTTGTTATAGTATGTTATAGTACTTAAAGTGATATTCTATATTTATATAGATTAGGCAAGAAACACTATGGGAAGTTTTAATAGAGATCATGCCATGCTATATCTCTGCAAATATAGAAATACCTGCAGTTATCGATCACGTACTACTGACTGGATATCCCCAGAGGGGAAATGGTTTCCGAGACAAGTAGCAAGCCTTTGTGGTAAGAGAGAACTTCTTTTTAAAAGAAAATCTATATCATATATATGTAGTTTCTGCGTCTGTCAGTTGTGATCAAGTAAATTGTTTTAGTTCTCTGAGCTATCTCAGAACTGAAGCTTAATACATCTTCTCTGAAGTAAGAATTTATATTAAATCTTGCCCAGTAGTGCATGTTTCTCAGATCTATAAACTTGTACTGAATTTTGAGGGAAAGAATACTTCCATATGCTGTTACTATTTCGGTGGCAAGCTGTAGATTATTGTCAGTGTAGTTTCTGTGCTGATGTTCATCGTGCTTGTCTAGTGCCTTTTGAGGTGCCAATGATTTGTCTCTTAAGAGATTGTTGAAGCAGAAGGGTCTTCAGTGAACTCATTTTTGTTATGAAACTTGATATGTTTGAATTAACACTTTTTACACATGGCTCTTGGGTTCTCTTGAAAACATTTCACCGGAGTGTTTTCAGCACTGTGTTTCTAGTAGGAGATTGTATCTGTGGGCACATGGATAAGGATGTACTGTAATTTAGGGCACTTTTTTTGTGAATCTTGTGTACCTAAAAAGAGGAAATAAAGTATTTACAGACAAATTATTTACTGCTTAATGTAAACTGAAAATCTCTCTCCCAGTCTTAAGGTATTTTACAAGTTTTGGTCCTCATCTTTCTACTTAAAATAGTGTCAATATTTCATTCCTTTTTTATCTTTTACTTTTGACCAGCATGTTAAATGTTGCTTAAACTTCTAAAGTGATTGTATTTCTAAGACATCATAGTTGTAATATTCAGTAAAGAGAATCTACAAGATTATTGGCACTGCAAAAAAGCCCAAAATGAATTTGATATAGTTTAGGTATGATTTTGTTGTGAATGGATAGTGTATCTTTGCTGTGTATTGAACATGAATAAAAGAAATACATTTCTTTTAATACCCTACCTGGCTGTGGCAGAGATGCAGTTGCTTACATGCATATATAAAAACAAGTGTGTGTGTGTGTCTATTTATATATGTGCATATAACTGAAGTAATTATTTTTAAAGTACTATATCATTGTATTAAAATTACAGGCTGGATTCTGCTACTTTTAAGTAAGCGATGTTTTTAATTCCCTATGATGTTTACAAAAAAACCTAGTTGCTTATGTGTGAAAACTTTCACGAACAATAAATATATACCCAAAAACTGTGATTTAAATTGTGTGTGGTAATATTTTTTCAATAATAGGAGTTTAGAAAGTGAATTTTTACTTTTCTATTACAATATGTGTGTAAAACTCAATTAGACTGGCAACAACGGCTTATCCCAATTTTTTTAAACAGACAATACTCCTGAACTTTTTAGGTCTATTTGTATATCTAATTAGGCTACTAAGGGAGTTCACTAGTGCATAGTGTTGCAGGTGTCTTTGAGCCCTGAGGTGTGACTGTATTTTGACAAAGTAAAACTGGAGTTTACAGTTCATACAGAAGTTTAAGAGGGATGTGAGGACAAATAATTAGCCTTGTAGGAGAATGGTTTACAACTAAATACTACAATGGGGTCAAAGAAATATTTGCTGCATTCTGATAGTATATTGTGCTGTTCAGGTATAAAAACTCTGGAAGGTAAGGGTTGCCATTTTATTAAAGTTTCACAGAAATGTGAAATTACCTTCTTGGTATTTGAAAAGTAAGTCTTGTTATTCCCAGCAAACTAACTACATTGGTA